CGTGTCCCTCTCAACACCAGGCACTGACATCAATGCCCAGCCAAGTCCTTGCCCCCATAACACCACTGTGCTGCTCCTGATCACCCTGCAGATCTCTAGGGACAGGAGAGAGTGTCCTGCCATCCTGCAGGCAGCCTGCAATCCATGAACATCTCAAGAGGTTACTGCAGAGGAAGAACAGCCTCCCTACAACAGAACATTAAAGACAAACAAAGCAAGAGCTTTAAAAGCCCTCTCAGAGCACTGTGAGTGGAAGTTGCAAGATTATGGTTCCAGATGGCTCCACACATACAGGACACAAGGGGTCTGGATGCACCCCACTTCCAGCCTACACTGAAGGTACATTTTAAAATATGCCTAAAATAAACCTCTTACTAGTAGGTATTTGCTTGTTCTTTAAAATGCAGAAGTACAAACCACATTAGACAAAAAAATTAGGGAACAGGCAGGGCAGACTTCAACTCCAGTTGCTCTGGGAAAAAAACCTCCTGATCTCTCCAAACCACCCAGAGGTCCCAGATGCCCACAGCCCATGCTCATTGAAGAGGCTGAGAACAGTCAGTATGTTTCAGATGGTTTTGCCTTCAGTTTTCCTTGTCACATTATGTTTTGAAAAAACATTTTTACTTAAAAAAAAAAGAAAAAAAAAGAAAAAAAAATAGATACACTGCTGCACAGTGATTCTTTGTTCTTGGTGATTCAGTCTACTATATGGCTGTGTTCCTTACATATTAGGCCAAAAAGTACTGGAAGTCCTCCCCCCGAGGTTAGCACTGACATTTACTTCAAAATGCAGGAATTTTTTAAACCCCTTAGAGTTTTATAAGGAATATATTGTACCAAGACACCACCATCTTGCCTTCTGAATGTTTTTGCCAAGTAGCAAGGAAGCTAAAAGCAAGTCTTTGCACAGCCTGCAGGAGGCAGGATCCCAGGACTAGTCTTTCATCCACACTCCTGCCCAAAACAGGCTGAATCAGAGTATTTACTTTGTAGAGAACAGGGAAGAATAGCACTGGTTTTCTCCTTAATGTTGTAGGAATGCACACAGATAAAAAAGGTTTTAAAGGAGCTTGCTTTCTGCAGTGAGCAGATTTCAGAGATCCTCACACAGACAGACATTGCTCACTTTCACCTGCCTGTCCAGGCTGCAACAGAAAATGTTCATGTGAGATTCCCACTCCTACATAACCCATCTCCCATCCTTATCACCATGCTGGCAGCACCCATGTGGATAAAATCAGGTGCACACTGACCATAGGACTTCAGGACAACTAGCACCCCACCCCCTGAGAGCAAGCTGGGGTCTGCTTCACATCCAAAACTTCCTGCTAAGGCTGTTTCACAAAATCTTAATACCTTCAATGAAATCAAAGGTCAGAAAAAAAAGAGGGTAAAATAACCACAAAAAGCACTTTAAAAATATCCCAGCCTCATAATAGTACTGTCTGCAGGCTGAATACAAAATTTTGACCTAGCAAGCTTAATAACATACTATTAAAACAATTTTTGCCCCAGTTTTCTTTCACCTTTGGACACAGATAAGCAGCATGACTGTGCCAGAGCAAGATGCAAAAAGTCTTACCAGATGAGTGAAGCACCTAAATGTAAATAAATGCACTGGTCTTAAATGGAGCCTCATGCTGTACCTTCCTCAAGACACACTGAACATAATTTCAGTTTAATATTCTGTTTCTCATTACAGACCTTGGAGACTCTCTCAAGCACCATGAAAAAGCAGTATTAACCCAGCCCTCGGCACTGGGGACAGCAATCCAGCCAAATTATTCATGCTGGTCTTTTGCTTCAATTTTTGTAGTCTTAACTTAATGTTCTTAAACAAATCTGAAAGGAGGATGGCTGACAAATAGAACAGATTTTACTTTAGACATTACAGACAGCCATGTTATGCAGCCTTGAGTCATTAAGCTGAACTCCTAAGGGGAGTTTCACTGGAGCTGGGAGTAAAAACTGACACAGAGCTTGTGGTTGTCACAGCCAAGCATGGAGAAGAAAGTGTGTTAAAAAAGGGAAGACAAAAAAAAAAGAAAAAAGGAAGGGTAAAAAAAAAAAAAGGCCGAGGGGGGAGAAAAAAAGGAAAGTGGGAAAGAAAAAAAAGAAGGAAATAAAAAGAGGGAGGGAAACCCAAGCTACCACACTCTCCTTTCCTCTCTTTGTAATCCAGCCATGAAGATTAGCCTCAAATCCTGATTTCAGAGATAGGGGGTAGATAAGAAGTGATTTGCAGGTGTTAGCATTTTCCTACAGATCTTCAGGGCAGCCCAGCTGATTTGAAGATGAAAAACTGGCATGGGTACACTTTATAGACTAGACACAGCAACCAGGGTAGAGAACCAGTTTCTATCCCTACATGTTACACTTGCACAGAAACATCAGGATGCCCATGAAATACCCATCCCTGTTCCACAGAAAGATTAACTGTGTTTTCACAAATGCAGACAGAAGTGGATATAGAGCCCTGTGCAAGAGCAGCCAGGTCCCAGGTGCTGTGGGCAGGCACAGCAGCAGCAATGGGGACACCAGAGATGCCTGACACATCCCAGGCCAACTGGCATCTGCAGCCACTTTATCTCCCCCCAAATGCCATTACCCGCTCTAACTTTATTTACCAAGGAAAAAAAGACCATTTTCACTCCACAAAATTAATGTGGCCTGGGGTCAGTGCCAGGAAAAAGGGTGGAAAAAGCTGCCCCTTATTTATATATTTTAACAGAACAAGGCAAAACAGTTTGCTGCTAGAAATAAACATTAAGCCTTGCAGAACCTCCCCCCCCCTCCCAAAAACCCACTGCTCTCCCCCCTCCCTCCCTCCTCCTCTCCCTCCAACATTGTAAGTAGCACAAAAGATCACATTACAAATGCCAGCTGTGGCTCTTTGGGAAGGTGGCCTCCATCTCGGAGGTAGTATATGTTCCTCATGGCCTAAGTGGTTGCTATGGTAAATATGCTTTTTATTGAATAGCAGAGTGAAACAGCTTTTAAAGAGATCCATAAGAAACCCCATAAATGGTCAAAACACAAAGCAGATCAACCTCAGCCTCCCTGGAAGCAGGTTTCGCTTCGTTTTCCAAAATGATTGTGATTTTTGAACCCGTTTTGTATATTTTGTTGACCGCTCATCTCGACCTTGCCCACACCTGGGTGGAAGGGCTGGGGAGAGCCAGGGGGGCTGAGACCCCAGTGAAACCCCTGAGCACCACAGGCTGCTTTGGGATTTAAAGGCAAGTGTCTGCTGTCCTGCAGGGCAGGAGGCTCAGGGACACTGGATGCTCAGCACTGGGAAGCTCAGGTGATCCCAACCAAACTCACCCCACCCTCCCCACCTGCCTTATCCAGGAGAAGCCTCTTGTTCCCTCTCCATCTCTTCCCAGGAGCTTGACACCACTCCACCATGCCAGAGCCACAGGGACATTCCCACCCTGTGTCAGTCCTCCAGCACAGCAGTAAAAAGAAAAGAATTAAAATAGGAAAGTTTCTCTAGCTCATTTCTTATTAGGAGTGAGATGATGGCAGGTTTTGATGACTGTAGATTTCTGATTAAGCAGCCAGACATCTTTTCTTTGATCTCTTCCTCCAGTGACAGTCCAAGTGGATAGGAAGGAAAAGCAAAGTAATTCTGGAAAAGTGAAGCAGCCAGCACTAGATATCAACTGGGCAGATACCAGTCTTGTTCCAATTGCTCTCTGATGATTTGAAGGATAGTTTAGAAGCTATGGATTCTAAAACATAGGAAATCTATTTTTTCCTTTTGAATAAAAGAACTATGACACTCATCACAATGGGCTGACAATTCTCAGTTTAAAGAGACAACAATGAAAAAAGAAGCACCTCAAAATGTTTGGTACGATTTGAAATTTCTAGAAAAGCCAATGTGTGCCTTGGATGATCTACCAGCTGTGTCAGCTCTAGACTATAGAGCAGAAAGTAAAGAATGAGCAGATTCTTTTCCTGGCATTTACTTTATCATCCAATGGTTGTAAAAAAGCTTTTTAAAAAATCACATTAAACTTGATGATGAATTCTTTTTGGAAGAAATATTCTAACCCAGTACATGCCATTCTCTCCAGAGGTAAATGTCCCAGATGAATAGTCAGAGCTAAGATGCTCCTTAACAATAAATGGCAGTGACACTGATTGTGGGTGAGGATGGACCATTGCATATCTCTGCTCTGCAAACCACCACATAAACAAACCATTTCCTTCTTGATCTCTATGGATGCTATTTTAGAAAGCAAAATAAACCCCCAAACCACTTTCATGTAAATTTATACTGAACATTGCAAACTCAACATTGTTTTCACAACAGAAGCACAAGAAAAATTAACGAAGAATTGAAAATTCAAGTTAGAAGTTAATAAATAACAGTATTTTTTAAAACACTACTCATTATAAAGAGAGTTTTATATTTTGCAGGTAGCAGTAAACATTTGATAACAATGTTTATACTAAATTAGAAGTCACCACAACACAAAGCAACATGTGCTTTGCTGAACTTGGCTCTTTTGAGCCTTCACCCAGGTAAAAATCCTGACCAATTCTCAAACTCTCATGCAGGATTTTTCAGTAAGAAAAGATTTCTTTAGGTAAAGGACATAGAATAGGCTTTTGATTTTTCTAAGGCAATCTTAAGTCTAAGCTTTCCAGACAGTCTCTTCACTTCAACACAGGTAGGTCAGATGTGTAAACCAGCCTGACTGGACTCCACTGCCCCTACATCATTCTGCAGTGTGTAAATTTAGAGTATTTTTGACTCCCTGGTCTCCTGCAAGGCACATGGATGATAATTTCATAATTTCGGCCCAGTGATAACAAAAGTATTCCCTCCTTTTACCACAGGCTTGTTAGGGATTTGTTTGTTTTGGGGTATTTCTCCTTTTGGTCTGTGTAAAAGAAAACTGATGACAACCATTGCCATTAATTTCAAATGCTTTTTTTTTTTTTTTTAAACAAAGGAAGAACATCTTTCTGTGTTTACTTACAACAATGTGTGCTGGAGATGGAGACCTAGCATCCTTGAGGGCTTGTCTACTCTGAAGGCTCCCTGCCTGAACATCAAGCAGTGGCCATTTCATCTGCAGATACTGGATGGAGGAAACAAAAATGGGAAAAGAAAAATGAGTTCAGAAAAGAAAGGCAAAAAAAAAAAAAATAACAAATCTTAGGTAACATGGATAAAAAAGTATAAAGCAAAACTTATGCAAGGAACTGAAACAAAAAATTAAGACAACCTTACATGTTTGTGGATACAAAATCTGTGCAGAACTAACAATCTCATACCACTGTGTTACAATTCAGGAATAAGAAAAAAAAAACAGATTGCAAAGACAGTATTACATTAATTTTACTGATCGCAGCAAATCTAGAAGTAGCATAAAACTCACAAAGAAACAAAATATCATAACCATGGAGAGGATGGGACAAGGGAAAAGGTGGATATCAGTGTCAGGAGAGGGAAAACATATCATGAATTAAGAATATGATCTCATTACTGAACGGGTCATCTGTCAGCCTTCTTTCAACAAATGTACCAAGTCAACTGCTCCAACTGCCCAGTGCTGTACGAGCCCTAAAGACAGGGCACTACCCCAAAATGACTGCTGGGTCTTAGCATCTATTTTCTCTACTTTTCACCATTTCTGGAAGACACCATGGATTTTCTTCTTGCTTATCTTCTGTCAGACAACCCTGGCTCGGGGACAGCCACAGCTTCTCTGTGGCACTGCCACCAGCAGACAGGCTGGACACACACAGGGGCCACCTCTGCAGCATATGGGGGCACTGACTCAAAAGCAAGAAAAGCTTCAGCTCACTGCACCAGGAGTGCTCCATTCTGAACAAAAGCAGGTCCACAGAGAAATTAGTTATCCTAAACAAACTTCTGCGCTGTACATCTAAATATAATTTCAGCCCAGGCTTTTCTCTCTGCACGCTGCTGTGTGCTGTCCCAGTTAACACAGGTTAATAAGAGACTTCTAAAAGCCCTGTATCATGCTGGAAGAAATGTGCACAGGCACACACATTCAGCCCCCTCCCAGAACTAAGGAAAGCAGCTGCACACACAGATCAGGCCACTGCAGAAGCTCCTATTCAGCACTAGACGCTGCTCGACCTGACACATCTATTCCTAGAAAATACCTACTAGAGAAATAGTTATGTTTACCCATTCCTTCCTTTCTTTTTTTTTTTTTTTAAAGTAAGGGTAATCTTGAAGAAGCAGCATGCACAAGCAGCCCCTGCAGTGCAGGGGAACAGCGGAAGCTGTATCTGAATCTCCATGGAGGAAGGAAGGAGATCTGGTTCCATGCTTTCAGCACATCACTATCTATCACATTTGCTCACGTATGCAAAACATTTGCTCACATGCAGAGCCTGTTTGCTGCAAGACTCTGGGCACTGAGGTGCCCAAAAAGCAGAAGCCAGCAGGAGAATGTGTTACCAATTCCCATCACTTGGAGGGCCTGAGTTTTCCGAGCTACTGGAATGCAAATAAACAAACCCATACTCTGGATTTGTGCCCCATATGAGTTCCACAAGTTCCAAGAAGTCTTGTTTTTATTCATGTTCACATTTGGGATTTGTGCAATATGGACCAGAATGTTTCAGCACTTCTTAAAAACAAGAAATAAAACCCAAACAAACCAGAACTAGACTACCGATAAGCAATATTTCTAACTCTTACAACTCAATTGTAAGTCTCCAGATATTTGATCACTTGCATCAAATCCCTGTTCTTCAATATAGGTGACCACAACATAAATTTTAAAGTTGAGATGATGTTAAAGCAACTTTCTAACCCTTTGTGGTTTAAAAAAAGTGCATAAAAATGCAACCCTAGTGTGTAGAATTTGGACCCAAAGCCTAAGCCAACTGAGAGCCAACTTTTAAACTTGAGGGGAAATCTGATACATTGCAGATTTTCAGATGGCACTATTAAACAAGTAAACTACTACATTTTCAAAAGTCCACCAGTTTTCTTAGACAGCAGTCAAAACACCACCACATAGAAAGGTGCATGAATTTCCAGAATGGGTCCTGATGGGTCACAGCTACTATTGGCTTCCTCAGGTTTTCCAGACAATCAGTGAAGCATTTTTCCCTTCTTCCAAGGAAAACGTCCTCACAGGATGTGTGCATGACTCTGCTTCAAAGTTCACAATGGTTTTTGGAGAGCAAGAACCTACCGCTGCCACAGCTGAAACCTCTACAAGAACAGGACAGCTCAAACTGTGGATTTCCAGGGAACAGACACCAAGCCATTACCCACAAAAATAAACTCATCACCTTCATTTTTCCATAACCACTCCACAGTCACAAGCAGCCCTGGAACACGTGTACAACCATGACAGCCTGTGAGGAGCTCAGGTCAGCAGCTGTCCTAAAACACAGGCTGAGAAACACGTGGGCTTCTCTGAGACTGCCCCAAGGGCAGACAGAGGCATTGACAAGCAGCAGGGGTGAGCTCACAGCAGACCCCATCCAGTCAGTAATTATTGCAGGGATTACAAAGCCTTCAGGACTGTCAGTTGTGCTGTTTTTTACTAGCAATAAATTCCATTAGAAGAAACAGAGCAAGAAGGCATGGCTGCTCCCACTCCACCTCTATCCCACCACAGCCCGTGCTTTCAGCACATGCTTTCAGCTCCTACACCAGGCTGACCTAAGGGCAAGATGAACGTTTCAGAAGATCTTACTGTTACTCTTTTTTTTTTCCTCCTTTTAAAACCCTTAGTCTGGACTCTCAGTAAAGCCCTTCTCTTACCCACCCCTGGCAAAGACGATCCAAGAAGTCTTACAGTGCAAAGGCTAAAGCACAAACAGCTTCTTTTGGACATGCACATGAAGCCCAGCAGGAACAGCCCAAACCCAGAGGGCTCAGTTTTGCACACAAGCACAGACACGGACAGCTTCCATTTCTACCAGTGGATAACACACCAGTGGGAGACAAAATAAAATCAAATAACCACACCCAAGGGAAAGCAGTAAAGCACAAGTGTCCATAAAGCAACTTCCATGAGCTCTACCAAGTGGCCAGGATCCAGAGCAGCCTCCCAGCCCCGCTAAGGGTGAGATGTTCTGTCTGTCAGATAAGCAGAGGGGGCCAGAGCCCACAGCCAATGCCCACGTCAAGCTAGCGAACCCACACCTTCAACAGCAGGATGTTTGCAAAAGCAAAAAAATGTTTGCTGGCTTCAAAATGCCAGCCCTGTTGATAAAGTATGAAATATTAGCATTGTTTAAGGTGACGAGTCTGACTCAAGGCCTCCTCATCCAAGAATTGTCATGCCTGTAACACAATATTGATGTGGTGGCTTATAATTCTTACTTTACATAAAAGCCTCATTGTGTGCCAAATTCAATCTCCACAGGCTACCTGAGCCACAGATTTTTACAAGTCTACATTTCAGCGCTGCGAGTCTACAATACACATAATTTTCAATTATGTTAGGGCAGAACAGGATCACTGCCTATATAACATTACTGGTTGGAGGAAATGAGACTCAGCCCTACTGCCGAGAGAGCTAACTGGATCCAGATGGTGGCCGAGCACAGCAGCCACCCCCTCCACAGCTCTCTCTTTCGCAGTGCAGGGACATGCCAGGCCCTTGCTGGGCTGGGAGCTGTGACAGGAGATGCCTGGCCAGGGGGGAGCTGCTTCACCTCGAGGAAGAGGAGGGAGAGCCCTGATTGCTCTCGGAGGTTTACTGCTACTGCCCTACGCTATGATATTCTTATTAAAAAGGAGAAAAATTAAGTCCTGCTACAGCAGAGAGGTAAATCCTTTCCTTCCTCAAGCAACTAAATAGCAGGAAATCCTCTTCTCTTGGCCCTAAATGCAGATTTGAGCCAGACAGTTCCTCTGATTTGCAAGGAGCCCACAAAAATCCAAAGCTGACTTTCCCAGCCTTCTGACACTGCTTTTACATTCCTGCACTGGGCAGCTGGAGGGGGCAGAAGGGCAAGAGGGAGGGGAAGGTCCCACCAGCCTGCTCCTGCACATGCTGGACACCCACTCACTCCTCTCCTACTTCTTATGTCTCAGTGTGGAAATCAGGACTTGCCTGTACAAACACTGAACTTTTCAACAAATTAACTCCAACAAATCTGTGCAAATTATTTCAGAACAGAACTGTTGAAATGGGCTCTGCTGGCCTGCTTTTTACATTTTTTTAAAGTAATGTCATCGTGGTGGAAGTACTTTATTCCCTGTTTAACAATATGATCTGATGGGGATCATTAGCATGTGTGCATTTAAAAAAAAAAAAAAAGTTTTATGGCAAGTCTCAGAGAGCTTAAGCAAAATAATTGTTAAGCTCCAGGCCTCCACACAAGAATTAAAACAAGTTTGGGGCGAGCGTACTTGAGAGAAACCAAAGCTTTTAAAAAGGCTGTTAAATTGTCAGCACAAGGGAAAAGGCAAATGATTTGAATGGCCCAGATTTTTTCTGTAGAAAGGAACAAAAAAAAAAACCCAAGAACCTTCCTACACATCCACACCTCCCATCTACAACCAGTGGGTCCTGCAGAGCACAGACCCGCCGGGAGCAGCTCTGCATTGGCACCCCCAAAGCAGCCACCCTCCTGAGCTCTGGCTGGGCAAACAAACATCATTCCCAAGTTTTCACAGCAGAGCTGGTCCAAAGCAGCTGAACTTCACATCCAGCACTCGAGGAGTTTGCTGGAAGCTCCAGCTCAGGGCCAGCAGCTGCCCCACAGGCTGGGGCAGGGCGCACAGCGGTGCAGCCGTGGAGGAAAGGATGGCACTGAGCTCACAGGTGTTTCCTGCACTGGTGTCCAACCTGGACCTGTCCCCCTGTCACACTATTGTTTTCACTGCTAGATCGCCCTACAAGTGATGTTCTTTAACATATAAAAATATAAACAAAGTAAGGGGGGGAAAAAAGGCCATATTTTTAAACAGAAGGAAAGCTGCACAATGCTTTGCAGATCAGGTTTCCTGCAGCTGGTGCTTATTAGCTCCCAGGAACTGAAACAAGCAGGAGCAGGGCTCCTGCAGTCAGCTTGATGCCACTGGTCTCCAATACCTCCCCTAACCACTGGATCACACCTCCGAAGTCTGCAC